AGGGTCTATATCCCCAAGATTTCCCTTAATCCTAGCTCCCACAGATGTCTAAAGCTTTCGCGGGTTTGCAAACCCAACCCAACACATGCCCTGGAGGGGAACACAAACGCATGCCTTCTCGCCTGCATACGGCAGCAACACACGTGAATGCCCTGCCAAAACATGTGCCATGGCTCGTGCTTGTGGACGGCTTGATAATTGCTTCTTCGTTTGTGTCTTGCCGATCTTTGTGGCACACTTGCTCTCTTCTGGACAAGCTCGCTGTATAGCCTAGCCCAGGTTCAGAACGTTCTGTTCTCGAAAAGCTTGGATCATGATTGCTCCAAAGTTGCTTGACATGAACAACTAAACAGCTTCAAGCGCCTGCGCTGACATCCAGGTACCGCCGCGTGCTATCTGGGACTGAAAAGTTCAGCCAGAAGACCTGGCGAAGGCAAACGAGAGGGTCCGGAATGTTCCAGTTACTGGCAGAGAAGGGGACGCGATACCATTTGCGGTGAACTCTAGGTTTCGTGTTTCACGAAGCTGACACTGGCACTCATACCTAATTAACCATCACTGTCCGCGAGTTCATGCGGCAAACAAGTAGCATCAATTGCCGAAGCAAGATGATATTGAGTAATCTCGCTGTCCCTTAGCCTGACAAGATGAACAAGAAAATCAAGCTCTGCCCCACCGGTGCATCGCAGGTGACCACACGGTGAGCTCCCCAGTATTCTGTGAGATCTGGCACCTGTTCCAGAGTGAAAGAGCAGCTTATGATTTCTAATTTATGCGCAGTCTCCGCCCTGACATCATAGAGACGCCCTGTGCCAGAGAAAGCATCTGGTATCAAGGCTCCAGACCCTCCACCCCCGAAGCTTTGCCCTACCAGCAGTAGAGAGTCAAGGCCATGCCCTTGAGAGCCCTGGCCTGCAAGGGCGCCTCTGGTGAGCCGAAAAGAGAGCCACAGCTCACGCCGTTGACCATGGGCCTCAAGGGCGGGTTTAGGGTAGGAGTGTACGGATTTGACTGCCTGCAATGGTCCTTCAGTCTACGGTGGAGCACAGGAACCTGATTTCTGAACTTGGGAGGTATCCAGCTCTCATCTCAAGATCTATTCATGTCCGTATAAGACGCAAACCTCGTGTGCCTTTGCAGGGTACGACTTCCAGGAATGCTCGAGAATCCTCCAAAGAGAACCAAACTGAGGTTCGATATCCAACTCCAGCATTTTTCCGATTCTGCGCAGGAAGACTGGCGGTCTGGAAGACCGGCGGGCGAATGCCACTTGCCCTTACAAGTTCTTACACGCGGAAGAAATACTCTTCAAGGCCCTTTCTACGCTTGGCGATCGAAAATGAGCATGTGCCGCTCAGCTCGTTGGACTAACTCATACAAGGACTTCTGCTGCACGGAGTGACATCCACAGCCCTGTGAAATCGATGAGCGCGACTTGGAACTTCTGAAGAGACTGCTCCGGAGCGAGTGTGGTGGTACGACAGATACTGCCTGCTCAAAAGAGTTCTCCACTTATACCCTAGAAGTACATAACACACTGCAAGTTCTGAATCCCCGGTCCCACTTGATCCTAGCCTCTTCCCGGAGGAACCCGCAAAAAGAGTCCGCTCTTCGTTAGCTGCTCCCTTTGGTCGCTGACTCTCTTGCCCGCATCTTTGGCAGGCAATCGTCGGTGTCTGGGAACTTGGCCCAGGGTCTCCAGCAAGGCCTTAAGGGCTCGACATCTACAGCGTTGCACAATGCTGCGCAGCTCCCAGGACAGAGAAGTTTTCCCCGTCGTAGAGAATACAGCAGACCCTGTCCTACAGCCCCGCAGAGCCAGGTGCATCCCGATCACTCGACGTAATGATGGCGGACCTGACCGCTGACAGGTGATTGGGGCTTCTCTGAAGGAGAACTCCGGTCTTCTCTCCCTGACGTACAAAACCAAGAGTGACCGGCGAGGTGATGCAGGTCCTGTCTACGCAACTATAAAGACCGAAAACATGCCGCACAAACTTTGCAAGACTGCCGATGAACACATACTCCAGGTGGAGGCCGAAAGGTAAGGCTCGGTTTGCCGTGTTGCAGGCCCTCTCTGTAAGGTCAAGTTCGCCGAGCCGGTCCACACGAGGCCGTGTGATAGGAGAGGACCCCGCACTGAATCGGATCGGAGGCAGTGCTTAAAGGAGCTCCTGAAGGGACTCACAAGGCCGAGGGGCAGCGTCACCAAGACCTGGTCTTCGTAGCGAATCTCGCCCTGAACGCTGGTGCCGACGGGCCCTGTGCCAGGCGGGGATCTGCATACAAAGTGGTACCCTGTGACCCTGTCGGAGCCACGGAAGCGCCACGTGAGTGCTGTAGCTGGAAAGGACTACAGTACAAGAGTGTCATCCGAATTCCCCCTTCCCTCTCTGGATGTGCAGAAGAGATCAAGCAGATCTGGGCGATTATAGACAGCACGCAGCTCTCGATTGTTTGCTGAGATGAAAGAGCAGTGCCGAAAACAGCAGCTGCCGCCTCCCTGCTTCTCCGGGCAGAAGCACTCAAACTCGAGCTCCTCTCGGCATCTGGCTTCCACTTGCTGAACAGAGCTGGCATCCGAAAAAAGCGACAATATGATGAGCCGTTGCTAATGAAAGCGCGGAGTCGCCTGAACGGGAGGGAAACACGAAGCTGTCAAGAGCCTTACGGCAGATCTCCCGCCCTCTTGACCCGGAAGACCAGATCAACTCAAACGGCACATGAACGCTGCCTGGCCCACGGGTAGAAACGCTTTGACCTCCATCTCCTGCTTCCATGTCACGGAGGTCTTTTCCTGAGGCGGGGTTTGGACAGCAATGTAGGGGCCTTAATAATTAGAATAGGGTTTTGGGGCCCATTATAATATATATATATACAATTTTAATAATAATAATAATTCTAATAATAATAATAGTAAGGACC